CCCGGTCCGGTCCGGGGGCGACACTGAGGGTTGCGATCCGTTGCCGGACACGGAAAAAGATGAAAAAAAAAAAAAGAAAAAAAAGAAAAATATCATTTCCCTCACAGAATGTGTTCATTTGCAACTATTTATTGAGCAAGCTCGGCGGTGGATTCTTGAGCTGTAGTAATTAGATATGAGGATTAAATAAAGAATATAAGTGACAGTGTCCTGCAAACTGTCATGTCATTATTTGATTATTAAGATGGCCAAAGATCCAGATCATGCCTGGTCATAGTGGAGCAATGTGAGAATTTTATTTGCAATAAGAAAATAATCTCGCTACTTCCCCCTGGTCTCTCTGTCAGCAAGGAGACCCCTGGGTCCAAATTTTGGCATCCCTGTGGAAAACGGGGAAAGGGAGAGATAAAACCACAACTCTAAAACTTGACAGTGGGTCTCCTTTTCAACCCAAATCAGAGTTAATTTAGGAGTCCTGGTGAGATGTTCCTGCCCAGATTAGAGAGAGTCATGGCTGCTTTTTCCAGCTCTGCCCAATTGACTATGGGGCAGAGGCTGGGGAGGTTGGATGGGTGATTTTTTTTTTCCAAAGGAGGTTTTGAAAGAAAGAGTATGTCTAAAGCTCAGGACACAAGGGGATCACAAATGGATTAGAGAAATTCCTGGCTGGAGATCCCAAAGCCCAGGGATTTTTATTTTATTTTTTTTAGATGCATCAAAGGCAGTGGGTATCCTGGAAGGAAAGGTGAGTTTGGGGGCACACGCATGTGTGTGTGTGTGTCTGTGTGTGTGTGTGTGTGTGAGAGAGAGAGAGAGAGAGAGAGACAGACACCAGATGAGGGTCTTTGAAAACAGAAGAAAGATCAGAGGAACCAGTGGGGGGTGATCACACTGTATCCAGACAAAAGCATTAACCTGTGTGTCTTCTCCCTGAGAGAGTTCTGGAGTCTTAAGGGATATTCCAGGGAGTTTTTAGCTCAGACACTTATTTTATCATCCCAAAGGGCCATGGTGCCTGGTATCAGGGGAAACATCACTCCAAGCAGAGTTCTGGGTCCTGAGGGTTGGTGACTATGGCTTCTGTCCTGGGCAAGACTGGATCATGACCACCTATTAGCCCAAAATCATAACCTAGTGGTGAATGGGAGTCAGGTGTGTGTGTGTGTGCATGTGTGTGCATGCGTGTGTGCATGTGAAGCAAATCCTGAACATGTTTGAGGATGTGCATGGGCTGCTGATGGAAAAACAGGGGCTTTGGAATTAGTTCCCTATTTTGTTCAAATCTTGCTCTGTGACATGCTTGCTGGGTGATGCTAGATGAGTCATTACACTTCTTGAATCTCTGTCCTCTCATTCAAAAAATACAGATAAATAATAAGACCCACAGGCAGTGTTCTTTATTTTTTTATTGTGATAAGATATACATGACAAAATTCACCATTTTAATCATTTTTAAGTGTGTCGTTCAGTGGCATTTAAGTACATTCATATGGTTCCGCAACATTCACCACCACCATCCATCTCCAGATCTTGAGAATTAAATGCTTTAAGCATGTAAAACACTTCTCTAGATGCCTGTTACAAAGTCAGCACTCAACTGGTGTCAGCTCTTTTCAGGGTGGGGATACATGAGTGGACAGAGAAGGACCAGATTCTTTTGTGGACTTACCGAGCCTTTAACAAGGATCTGCAGTAAATGCTACTTTACTAGCTGGGATACTTGGTGTGACTAGGGGGAACTTTTTGGCTCTAATGTGAGAGCAAATTGGAAAGATTAATTTTTTTTTCCATAAGGAGACATGGAAATGGTGAGATATTCCTTGGTTTGAGCTTAATGTAATTAAAAATCTAACATCTGGAGGAGAACTTGATGAATGAAATCCCTACAGTTCACAGTAAGCCCAAATCTGCTGAAACTGTAAGCCAGAGGTTCTCAATCGAGAGTGATTTTGCACCCCAGAGGACATTTGGCAATGTCTAGAGCCGTTTTTAGTTGTCATAAGTTGAATGGGAGGAGTGCTACTGGCATCTATTAGATAAAAGAGGTTAGGGGTGCTGTTAAACATTCTACAAGGTGCGGGACAGCCCCCCTCCCGTGACAAAGAATTACCCATCCCCCAATATTGCCAAGGTGGAAAAACCTTGTTATACACCAATGGAGATGCAGAAGGGGAAAATGGACTTTACAGCCTCTGCTAATGTATCTCAGAAGCCAGAGAAGGGGCAGGTAGTTTCTATCCAGTAAGAACAACGGCGTCACACAGCAGCACTAGAGAAGACGAGCTGGACAGGGTCATGCTTGACTACGGAAAGGGCCGTAAAGGTGACTAATAACTACAAAAGCCAACACAGGCTGAGAATGTCCCATGTGCCTGGCACTGTGACCTTTAATGCCTTTCTTCTCTAGCGAATTAGCGATATTTACAATTTATGAGCACTTGCCACGTGAGAGGCACTGAGATCTTAACATTCATGCTTTTGTTAATCTTCACAGCAATGCCTGTGACCCAGGTTATTGCAACCCATTTTATGGATGAAGAAACTGAGGTTGAGTAACTACCCAAGGTCATGCTGCTGCAAAGTGGTTGAGGTGGGATCCAAGCCCATTTTAATCTTACTCCTGGGTGCATTGTCTTAACCACCAGTCCACACAGCCCGTGAAATCTATTCCTTCTGCCCGTAGCAATTTCCCCTTCTCTTGCTGCCAGGAAAACTCCAGCCTTCAAAACTCAGCTGCAATGCCTTCTTCTCTGTGTTTCCATTGTTGGAATTGTGGGTGGTGCATGGTATTCCAGGGCAATCTGGATTTTGGGAGTGTGGGGTTTTCCAAGGAAATGAAGTATTCCTGATTTAAGTGTGCAGCTCCTCCTGGTCCTTGGTCATCTTTCTTGTCCACGTCATTCACTCAGGGAATGTTTTTTTGAGGCGCAAAATCTTCCAGGGCTGGTGTCTCCCAGCAGTCCTTGAAACTGAGTCAGACTGCCCACAGATAGCTACTCTACTATCCAATGCAACGAAGCCACCAGTAATAGCTGAGCTCGTTAACAACCATCCCCTCCCCCCAACCCAGGGTTATTCAATCTCCAACCTGAGGTTGCTCAAGTTACTGTCATGGTTCTTCTATGGCTCGCACACCTTAGATTCATACCCTCAGTGAGATCCAGTGCTGGCTCATCATAGATTTCTCTTTGCTCCAGATTCTCGTCCAGGCATTTGGACCCAGGCCCTTTTCTCTGTTTTCTTGCTTGGTTTGCTGCTTCAACTCCATCATCCCCTTTTTCACTTTCTAGTGCTGTGGATTGATTGAATTGTGTCCCCCAAAGTCCATATATTAGAAGCTTAATCGCCACTGTAACGGTTGGGGGTGGGCAGGAAATCCTATTATGGTAATTGAAAGATGGGGCCTTGGGTTGTTGATTAGATTGTAGGACCATGCCGCAGTGAATGGGTTAATAATGGTGGTCATGGGCGTGGTTTTGGGGGCTTTAAAAGGGGAGCATCTGAGAGTCTCTCTCTGCTCCTTCATTTTCTGCCACATGAGACCCCTGCATTGCTGTAAAGCCACCACCAAGAAGACCCTCACCAGACATGTTCCCTTGACTTTGGACTTCCCAGCCTCTGAAACTGTGAGCAATACATTTTGTTTTCTTACACATCACCCAGTTCCAGGTATTTTGTTATAAGCAACAGAAATGGACTAATACACCAGCCTTTTTGGTATCTCACCTCTGCTTTGGCCCCAGGACCCTTAGGATGACAGATATTGAAGTATTCCGCCAGGGCTGTGTCACTGTCTTTTGCTCAGACCTCAAAATTTTGACTACGGGGGGATCAGTGGGTAGCTCCTGACTGGGGCGTGGCCAGGTGTCCCATTCAGAGATGAAAGTTGCTTCTCTCCCATCCCACACTTGTGACAGACATCACTAATGGATCAATGCTTTTTTCTCTTTCCCCAACGATTCCAGCTGTGGCCTCATAACTCTTCTTAGGACAGCATCCCGGGCAGCCACTACCAGTCGATGGAAGTTGGCACGTGGGATGAAAATTAGTCGGTCTCCCCTACTCAGGATTCCTGCCACAGGTCTGTTCTTCCTGCAGCTAATGTGTGTTGTGTAAAACATGGGGGATGTGAATCAGTCAGTGGCCTCTGACTTCATCCTGGTGGGCCTCTTCAGTCACTCAGGGTCTGGTCAGCTCCTCTTCTCCCTGGTGTCCACCATGGTTATCATGGGTCTTCTGGGCAACATGACTCTGCTTTTCTTGATGCACAGGGACTCCCGGCTCCACACACCCATGTACTTTCTGCTCAGCCAGCTCTCTCTGTTTGACGTTGGCTTCCCTCTGGTCACCATACCCAAGATGGCATCAGATTTTCTGCAGGGAGAAGGCTCCATCTCCTTCGGGGGTTGTGCTGCTCAAATATTCTTCCTGACGCTGATGGGTGTGGCTGAGGGTGTCCTCTTGGCCCTCATGTCCTATGACCGTTACGTAGCTGTGTGCCACCCTCTGCGGTACCCTGTGCTCATGAGACACCAGGTGTGCCTGCTCATGGTGGGCTCCTCCTGGCTGGCAGGTGTGCTCAATGCCTCCGTCCAGACCTCCCTCACCCTGAGCTTCCCGTACTGTGCGTCTCACATCGTGGACCACTTCTTCTGTGAGGTGCCAGCCCTGCTGAAGCTCTCCTGTGCAGATACCTCTGCCTACGAGTTGGCGCTGTCCGCCTCGGGGGTGCTGATCCTCGTGCTCCCCCTTTCCCTCATTGCCACGTCTTACGGCCTCGTGTTCAGGGCCGTTCTATGCATGCGCTCAGAGGAAGCCCGAAACAAGGCCTTCGCCACATGCTCCTCACACATCACTGTAGTGGGACTCTTTTATGGCACAGCCGTGTTCATGTACATGGTGCCTGGTGCCTACCACAGTCCACACCTGGACAATGTCATCTCCCTCTTCTACAGCGTTGTCACCCCCACACTCAACCCCCTCATCTACAGTCTGAGGAACAGGGAGGTGCAGATGGCTTTAGTCAAAATGGTCAACAGAGTTGGGCTCAGGCCAAAGTGATGACCTCACGAGAACTGTTGGTGTGATTCCAGTGTTCCTACATCCCACCCATCTTTCCAAAGCATCCATTTGTGGTATGGCTGCTATCACCTCATGTCCAAGGGTAAGTGTCTGTACGTTTCCTCCCTGCCCCATGATCAGTTGATTTCATGATTTCCCCCAAGGACTCGTGGAAAGCAATGGTAACAATCCCAATCACTTTTTCCCCCCCGCCTGGCATGCATTTCTCCTAGTTCCCTCTTTTCCCATGGTTATTTGATATTTTGAACCTTGATTATGGGGTAAGATGACATTATTTACATGAATGTAAGGTTGTTTTCCAGCCAACCTGAAGCTGCAAACTTACAGACTTACATGTACTAACCAGACCCTGGGAAACCAAAGAAGACATCAGGAAAGCTGTGCTGATTTCATCTCTCCAGGAGGACCCTGAGATAACAGCAAGGACAGGAGCAGAAACCAGATGGATTCTTGGAGAGACCTGGCTCTGTGAGCAGAGCCCCCACAGCTCATGTTTTCCTCCCTCCTGCTTTTCATGTCCCACATTCTCTTCCCTCAGCTCTCGCTTTATAAACCCCTCAGTAAATCTTAATCTTGGAGATGGCTTTAGTCTGGCCATTCTGCTTCAGGTTTACCAGAGAGATGGGTTAGCCTCACATCTCTCCTCAGGTGGCTGGTATTCCTGAGTAAAAGCTGACTTCCATTTTCACCAGCACCTGACTTTTTTTTTTTTTTGTCTTTTTTCCGTGTCCGGCAACGGATCGCAACCCTCAGTGTTGCCCCCGTACCGGACCGGGGACCGGCAACGGGATTGCAAACCTCGGTGTTGCTCCCGCGCCTCGCTCAGCCAGTGAGCGGGAACCGGTCTGTATGTGGGATCTGAACCCTCGGGCGGGAGTGCCGCCGTGCTTCCCAAGTGGTGCACTATCCAGTGCGCCACCGGGCCGGCCCCAGCACCTGACTTTTGAATGGTTTGCTTTTGAAAGGGGACAAGCAGCTGGACCTGTGCCAGGTGTCACATTTTAGAGAGACTCATCCAAGGAGCTGAGTGACCCCAGTATCAGTTGCAGGGTACAAGATCAGTGCACAAAATCGCTTGTATTTCTATACGCTATCAGTGAATGATCCAAAAAAGAGATTTAGGAAACAATTCCATTTACTACAGTATCTGAAGGAATGAAACATCTAGAAATCAATTTAAAGGAGGGGGTGAAAGATTTGTACACTGGAAACTACATAACATTGTTGAAACATATTAAGAAAACCTAAATAAAGGGAAGACATCCATGTTCACAGATTGGAAGACTTAGTACAGTTAAGGTGACAATACAACCCACAGCAATCTATAGATTCAGTGCAGTCTCTATCAAAGTTACAATGACAATTTTTGTAGAAATGGAGAAAGCCAATCTTAAAATTCATGGAGAATTGAAGAATTCTTTTTTTTTTCCTTTTTGTCTTTTTTACTGACTGGTAACGGGGTCGCAACCCTCGGTGTCGCGCCCGTACTGGGGACCGGCAACGGGATTGCAACCCTCGGTGTTGTGCCCGCACCATGCTCAGCCAGTGAGCGGGAACCAGTCTCCACATGGGATCTGAACCCTCGGCGGGAGCGCCGCCACGCTCCCAAGCGGCGCACTCTCCAGTGCGTCACCGGGCCGGCCCTGAAGAATTCTTGAACAGCTAAAACAATCATGAAAAAGAACAAAGTTGGAAAGCTCACATTACCCAGTATCAGAACTTACTACAAATCTAACAAAATCAAAACAGTGTGGTACTGGCATAAGGATAGGATTATGTACTAATGGAAGAGAATTTAGAAATAACCATAAATAAACCCAAATCTATTGCCAACCGGTTTTTGACAAAGATGCCAAGGTCATTCAATGTGGAGAGAAGAATCTTTTCAGCAGATGGTGCTGGTCTACAGCTTGATGCAGAAGAGTAAAATTGAGCCCCTATCATACACAAAAACTCAAAATAAATTAACATGCTAAGTATATGTACTAAAACTATAAAACTCTTGGAAGAAATTACTCTTGAGTAATGCTTCATGACTTCGGATATGGCAATGAATTTTTAGACATGACACCAAAAGTATGCACAACAAAAGAAAAAGTAAATTGAACTTCATCAAAATTAAAAACTTTTGTGTATCAAAGGACAGTACTGAGAAAGTGAAAAGATAACCTAAAAGGTGGGAAAAAATTTTTGCAAATCATAACAGAGAAAGGTCTAGTATCCAAAATGTACAAAAAACAATTCAACAACCAAAAGACAAACCAGACAATTAAAAATGGGCAAAGACTTGAATAGACATTTCTCCAGATACGATGTACATATGCTAAATACCCTGATATGATCATTGCATACTGTGTAAATGTACCCAAATATCACATTGTACTCGATAAATATATCCAATTGTCATGGGCCAATTAAGAAAAAATAAAAATAAGTCCAGAGACAGAAGTAGATTAGAGGTTACCAGAAATGGGGCTGCTGGGGGGACTGCATGGGGAGGAAATAATGAGAAGTTATTGCTTAATGAGTACAGAGTTTATGTTCAGGATGACGAAAATTCGTTGGAATTAGATAGAGGAAGTGGTTGCACAGCATTCTGAATATAGTTAATTCTATGCAATTGTATGTTTAAAAATGCTTACGATGGCAATCTTTGTGTTTTGCATATTTTACCACAATAAAAAAAAATGGAGAAAAAAAGATGTATGTATGGCCAAAAAGCACATGGAAGGATGTTGGTCACTAGTAATCAGGGAAATGCAAATCTGCACCACAATGAAATACCACTTCACATCTGCTCGGAAGGCTACAAAAACTTAAAAAACAACAAAATAAGTTCTGGAGAGGTTGTGGAGTAATAGGAAACTTGCACATTGCTGGTGGAAAAATAAAATATGCAGCAACGGTGGGAAACAGTGTGGTGCTTCCTCAGAAAGTTAAACATAGAATTACCATGACCCAGGCATTCTACTCCTAGGTATATACCCCAAAGAGATGAAAATGTACTCAAGCCTTTGTACACTGATGTTCACAGCAGCCAAAGGTGGAGACAATCCAAATGTCCACTAGCGAAAGAACAGAGAACAAAATGCAACATATAAATATAGAGGAATATTATTTTATCATAGAAAGTTGCCCCTTTCTCTTGGTCCTGGGGGTCTCAGGAGGCAGGACTACACGTAGCCTCTGCCAGGAGTCCCTCGGGGAGCAGGGCCGCATGCAGTCCTGCCAAGAGAGTGCAGCAAGGTGAGTTGCTCAGGGCATGCCTTGAGCTAGGGGCTGCTGCCTGGGGAGGTGGTCAACCAGAGACCAGACACAAAGTTCTG